CTGTGCTCTGTCCCATGGCTGGGCAGGGCTGTGCAATGGGGTAAGGGTATGGTGGGTGGGGAGGTCGATTTTTCTCCTGTTCCTTTTCCTTGCCCTTTTCCTTCCTGCTGTGCCTGGTCCTTGGTTGCCCCAGACTGACTCCATCTTCCCCTTTTTCTCCTGTTGCATTCAGTGGAGGATGGTGAGGATGAGCTTGTTAAAAAGCCCAGGTAAGGGGAGCATGTGCAGGGGCTGCATTTCCCAGGCAGGTGTCTGGGCACTGCTGGCTCTGAGCTGGGCATGCTGAGCTGCACCTTAGCTTTTCGGGTGTATGGGTAGTGGAGGAGTCTGATGGCTCTGGGAAACCTGGCGATGAGATGTTGGGAGGTGCAGGGTAGTGCCTGCACTTTGGGCACATTGTCCCTTGAGCCTGGTGTGGAGCTACCAGGCAGATAGACTGAGCTGGGTGAGTACCACCAGCTCATTTGCCCTCAGTCTTGCTGCTTGTGGTGACTCTCAGGAAGCTCTTTGCCCTGTAGTGGTTTCTTGTCTCCCTCTCTGTCCTCTCCTTCTCCCAGAACTGACCTGTTGACAGAGCCACAGAGCCCCCCCTGCCCTCAGCCCACAACAGGCAGTGCCAGTGCTCAGCCACTGCTTTGACCATTACCTCGGGAGGGTCCTACCTGGACACCCACCCACCATACGCGTGTCCCCAAATGGTGTCCCTGTGCTGGGCAGGACCCGCTGGGCACTGCTGGCACCCAGCTGAGGAGGCCGAGATGCAGCACCGTGTGCTGGACACAGTGGGTGGGGGTGGCTGGTGGCACCGATAACTTCTTGTTTGGGGTGTTGGGATGCACTAGACAGCAGCTAGTCCTGGGGCATGATGTCTTGTGGGGCTGTGGAATGGCTGTAAGGCTGGTCAGGAGTGAATGCTGTCGACATTTCCACGAGGCTCGTGTATCTCTGAGGCTGTGGGTGTGTACATGAGGGGTGGGCTGAGCCATGGGTCAACCACTGACTGTTGTGCCGCCGTTTTTTCGATGCCACAGGGATGCCCGTGGGTCCAGCTGGGGTATGGTGGAGCAGCGGTGAGTGCCAGGGTCTGGCAGAGGTGTTGGCATGTGGCGGGGCACCTTTGGGAGCACTACCCTGTGCTGAAGCAGGGTCTGTGCTTGGTGCTGGCTGAGCTCTTGCCCTCTGTCACTCACAGGCAGCCCCTTCAGCTGCTGGAGCCCCCCAGCACCCCTGGGTGCAATCCTGGGAAGCTGCGGATGTTAGAGGACGCTGAGGACTGGCAGCCCCGCACCGGGACCTCCCAGTCCCGCTCCTTCCGCAAACTGGCCCAGCTGACGGGCACAGATGGCAGTGAGTTCCTGCAGGGCCTGGTGCTGGCTGGGGGTGCCAGACTTTGCCTGGGTTGCTGGAGCCCAGCAGGGGCTGTATTGTGGCACCAGTGTTGTTTTTGGCCCTGTGTGGTCCCTGTGGGCAGCTGAGCCAGCGGGAGCTGCCTGGGGCTGTGTGTGGGCTCGTGGTGGTGCTGCTGCTGGTCTGGGGTTGTGCTCTGTCCCATGGCTCTGGCCCAAGGGCTGTGCCTTGGGGCAGGGGGATGGCAGGTGGGGAGGTCGGTTTTCCTCCTTCCCTTTCCCCTCTTGCTGTGTCGGCCTGGGTCTCAGCAGACTGACTCTGTTTCCTCCTTTTTCTCCTGCTGCGCTCAGTGGAGGATCATGATGAGATGTTTGTTAGGAAGCCCAGGTAAGGGGAGTGTGTGGCAGCAGGAGCCCCGTGGGGCTGCATGTCCTGGGCAGGACCTGTTGGGCATTGTTGCTCCTCAGCTGGGAATGCTGAGCTGCACCGTCGTGTCCCAGAAACAGCAGGTTGGGGGTGACTGATGGCACTGGCAAAATCCTGCTGGGGTGTTTTGATATTTGGGCAGCACCTGCACCTGGGGCATGGTGTCCTGTGGGCCTGGTGTGGGGCAGCTGGGCAGAGCTGGTGGGTGTCACCCACTTCTCCCTGTGTGGGACAGGGAAGGGAGCCAGGACTGTTCCTCGCTCCATGAAGCTGGGCAGGAGTGGTGCACCGCACCCCAGTTTTTGCCTTCACCTGTCTGTGATGCCTTCTGCCCTGGTGCTGTGGCCCTTAGGTTCCAGCTCTGCCCAGTTTGCTCTGCCACTAATAAAAGCTCCTGGGTTTGTAGCCATCTCCTTCTTGTGTTTACCCTGGAGAGGAACAGAGCCACCGGCTCTCCCTCAGTCCCTATCCCCTCTCTTGGGCTGTGCCTCTCTGGCCCTGGCTTGCCCTGCTTGTCCCCAGTTCTGCTGAGTTGAGCCCCAGGGCTCCCTGCGTCATGCTGGGTCCAAGCCCCTCTGCACCCCAATGTGACTGTGAGTGATCACTGCGTGTGAGCAGACAGACAGAGTCTGTGGGGTCCCTGGGGCCCCTGTTCAGCCCAGATCCCTCCCTCCTGCCACTCCTCAGACCACCACAGTGGGTACCAGACACCCTAGGGGTGCTGTGTCTTGGCAGGGCTGATGGTACCTCATCACCAAACCAGCTACCGGCTGGGCACGGGGGCTTGGCCAGGTCCTGCCTGCTTGTTGGGGTGGGGGGCCCTGCCTGCACCCTCTGGGCAGCAGAGTGGGGCAGGCTGGATTAACTGGGTGTTCTGTAGCCAGGTCTCCGTGTCGGACCCATCTCCAGGAGCAGCGATGAAGACTGAGCCAGGACTGGGTGAGCAAAACATCTCTGGGCTTTTTGGGAGAGAGGTGGGGCTGCTGGGTGATGCCACTCACCCAGCCACGGGTTCTGGGAGGGGGCTGCAGGGGAATCAGGACTGTCGTAGAGACGTGTGTGTGCATGCAGCCCCCAGGACCCCCACTGCCACCCCGGGCCCCACCAGCCGCCCACCATGGGCTGTGGACCCGTCGTTCGCCGAGCGCTACGCCCCGGACAAGACGAGCACGGTGGTGAGCAAGCACAGCCAGCCGGCCACGCCGACCCCCATGCAGAACCGCAGCTCCATCGTGCAGGCAGCCCAGCAGGCCCCCGAGGGGCCCGGCTGCACCCCCCTCTGCTACAAGTGCAACAAGGTCATCAGGTGAGCCCTGGCCACTGCCACCCCCTGCCAGCGTCCTGGGCCCTGGCATGGCTGACATGGCTCTGTCCTGCCACAGGGGACGGTACCTGGTGGCACTGGGACATTATTACCATCCCGAGGAGTTCATCTGCTGCCAGTGCAGGAAGGTGCTGGATGAGGGCGGCTTCTTTGAGGAGAAAGGTTCCATCTTCTGCCCCAAGTGCTACGATTCGCGCTATGCGCCCAGCTGTGCCAAGTGCAAGAAGAAGATCACCGGAGTGAGTGTCCCTCAGTCTGTCCTGCACCTCCTGTCCTTGCTCCCTGCTCACCTATGGGTGCCTGGCTCTGTCCCTTCCTACCCTAATCCCATCCCATGGGATCCCTTGTCCCTTCCTGCCCTGGGTGGTCCTGCCCCTGACTGACAGTGGCTCCCTTCCAGGAGGTCATGCATGCTCTGAAGATGACCTGGCACGTGCAGTGCTTCACTTGCAATGCCTGCAAAACTCCCATCCGCAACCGAGCCTTCTACATGGAGGAGGGACAGCCCTACTGCGAGAGAGGTAGGACCCAGGGACCCTATATGTCAGCCTATGTGGCTCTGGTGCACTGTTGGGGCTCAGCAGCTGCCCACAGGGGTGGAGGGGTGAGCTACCCTGGGCCATGGAGAGCTCCTGCAGCCCCGAGTCCTCCATCCCAGTCCTCCCGGTAGTGCCATCGCTCCTGTGTTGCCATGGTGATGAGGGAGGATGTACATCAAAGTGAGTGCTGCAAACTGGGAGATGAGGTTCGCCTCTTCCCTGCAGCCCTATGGTGCTGGGCCACCTGCATGGCCCGGGCACTTTGTCTGGGGCATTGTCCCCTCAAGACTGGCAGCAGGTTGGCCCCAGCTGTGCCTGTGGGATCCCGCTTGAGTTGCAGCCCTGCTCCTCTGGGATGAGGGGCTGTGGTGCAAAGAAATGCTGACCTGGGCTTTACTCTCCTCACAGACTACGAGAAGATGTTTGGCACCAAGTGCCGTGGCTGTGACTTCAAGATTGATGCTGGGGACCGGTTCCTGGAGGCCCTGGGGTTCAGCTGGCACGACACTTGCTTCGTCTGTGCGGTGAGCCATGTGCCTGTGTCTCTCTCCAACAGTCATGCCCTGCGTGGGGTACACCAGCAGCACAGGGACTCTGCTGCCGCAGGGTTTTCCCCACTTGGCTCTGTGCTGGGGGCTTGGGAATTGGCTCTCAGCCTTTTGGTCCCTGGCACCTGGGTGACACCAGTGCTGGGCCCTGGGGGTAGGGGAGACCTGGAGGCTGACTCAGCCCCCCAGCCTGACCACCTGTACTCTCCTTCCCAGATCTGCCAGACCAACCTGGAAGGGAAGACATTCTACTCCAAGAAGGACAAGCCGCTCTGCAAGAGCCATGCTTTCTCCCATGTGTGAGGGGTGGAAGTTCAGCTGTGCCCACGCGTGCCCCTGGCCCTGCATGCTCCTCTCCCCCCATCCTGATGCCTCCAGGGAGCCAGGCTGGGCCCTTGGCCCTTCTCCTTGCTCCTGCCTCTTTCCTGGCAGCTCCTGGCCTGAATTCAGCTGGAGACAATGCTGGGTGCAGAGCCCTTGTAGCTGGGTGACTTCTTCTGTGCTTCCTGACTGGCCCTAGGAGCCCTGGGAAGGGGATGCTGCATGGATTTCCTGCCCCTGAACCACGCAGCATAGTGGGCACAGCCGTGCTGAGGCTGGAATCGGGGATGCTGTGGCTCAGCCAGGCTGCTCCCTTGCTGCCTGGCAGCTCAGTGCTGGGGCAGGGATGTTCCTAACACATCCCTGAATGGGTGAGGACCAGCCCCCTGCCATACTCTTCCTCACCTTCCTTGCTGTGTGCTTAGTGCATGGGGCTGGAGACCCAGCCCTGCTCCCCTACCCACAGCAACCCCCCAGTCACCCCACAACCTGCTGCAGTGGCTTCCTGCCCTGGCTGCATTCCAAGGGGAGTCCATGCCTTGCAACCCCACTGCTCCCCTGAGGCTGGCAGCACCCCCAGCCTGGTGTGCCCCAGCCCTGGGCCGGCAGCTTGTGTTGATGGCCAGCTGGCTGTCTGCTCCTGCAAGGCTTGGGCACGGCTTCCTGCCAAAGAGTGCTGTCACCACCGTCCTGGGCCCATTGATGCCTCCCCCCAACCCACACCCTCTGGTCGGGCTGCACTGATGTAGCCACGGTGCTTTTAATGCCTTTAATAAACACATCTCTGCGAGTGCCGGCTGTCTCCAGGCCTGCCGTTTTGCCGAGCGAGGTGCAGCCAGCTGGGAAGGTCATGCTCTGCCCTCATCCTTCCCCCCCGGGGCCTGACTCAGCTCCTTCCAGCTTTCCAGGGAAAATCTTCACTTCTGATTTCTCCTCCTCTGCCCATATAAGCCCGGGCTGGACCCCTTGTGCTGCCTGGGTCATCCCTCTGTTTGTAGCAGGCAGGATCACTTAACAGAGGCGGTAACTAATCTGAGGGGCAAAACGCAGCGAGGGGAAATGGGGCAGGGGTCAGACCCTAGTGGTCCCCCCTTACTTGGCAGCGTCCTTTGGTCCCTGCTCTGCCCTGGCCCCGAGTCCTGCACAGGGGACGAGAAGTCATGGGACACACATGGGCCACGTGCACCAGCTCTGGGCGTTCTCCGGCGCGGGGCAGCCAAGTGTTCGCTCACACGATGCAGCTGCTGTCCCGGAGGATGGGTGTGAGGCCGTGCCGGCACCTCCGCCTGGAACAGGCTTGAGGGCAGCGGGTGTGGGGAAGCGGGTGTTCTCCTCCTGCTCCGCTCTGACAGCTGGAACGGTCATTAATAATTGCAGCTCTTGCAGTGATGAGCAATTGTAAGGAAAATTGTCTTGCTAATCTACTGGAAGGTTCTGCCGGGGGCAGGAGCTGGCTCTGGGAAGCCAAATGCCTCCTGGCATCACCCAGATCTGGGCAGTAGTGCCACATCTTCCTACTGCCAGCTGCAGGAGTGCAAAACCCCGTCAAAGATGAGGCAGGGGAAGGAGTGATGGAGACAGGCTGGGGCTGGGCGCTCAGGCTGGGGCATGTGTGGGCAGTGGGAGGGTCACACTGAGGAGCAGCAGGACACAGCTGTAAAAACGGTGCCTGCCTGGCAGGGCTGGGAGGAGCAGGGATGGGTGAGTGCTTGAGCGTGAGTCCCAGCTGTGCAGCCAAGGTCAGGGGAAGCACGGGGGAAGGTGAGGCGGCTGTGGCCCCACGTGAGCAGCCACCGAGCCAACCCTGGCTCAGCCAGGACAGCAACCAGTGAGTGGAGGGCAGGGAAAGGGCAGGGGGAGGCAGCCATGCGGGACGGAGCCTGCTGGGGTAGCACGGCCTGGGAACAGGTTCTGCCAGCTCAGCCCTGGGATGCCCGGCCTTGGAGCAGGGCCAGGGCAGAGCCACAGTACCACAGCCAGCCCCCCTGTGCCACTGCCAGGTCTGCACTCACAGGGGGCTCAGCTCCATTGAGTTCATACCCTGTTGCCTCTGGCCCCTACTGATGATGGCTCTACCACCCAAGGTGCCTCTGTGCTTTGCCAAGAGCAGCTCTTGCCCACCAGCTCTGCGCACCATGTGAGGAGCTTGTGCACAGACAGCGGAAGGAGGGTCTCGGGTGGGCTGTGGAGGTGGAGCCTTGGGAGGGGCTGCAGCCTCGCTGCTCTGAGAACAAAGCCTGGCAGCAGCAGGCTTAGGGCTCCCACCATGTCCCTGAGCAGAGTCCCACCACATCCACCCCCAAAGCCATCTGAGCCTCCTGTGAGGCGCCTGACATGGCCCCAGCCCCCTCACTGGCCCCGGCAGCTGCTCCACAGCTGCTCCCAAACTCTCACAGCCTCTTAGGTTGGCTCCTGCTCTGGCCTCGCTTGCAAATGCTGGTGCAAGGAAGGCATGAAAGGGAGCAGACAGCACAGGCAGGGCTTGGTTTGGGAACAACCCCCACCTGGGATCAGGCCACTGCTGCTCCAGCAGAGACCCCTTCAGCGTGGTTCTGGTCTGGTCTGGGGGCAGTGCCGGGGGACAGGGTGATACTCCCTGCCCTAGGTGGAGCATGAGGTCCTGGCTGGGAGCCCCTGCAGAGCCCTGCATGGGTCAGCGCAAAAGCAACTGTGAGAGTTCATGCAGAGGCAAAACCTCCTGGGAAAGGTGCTGTTGGACACAGCCTGGCAGGTTCTGAGGGCAGGCAATGTTTGGGAGCAGTGGGCATGGAGGGGCAGGCAGGCAGAAAAGGGGCCCCCAAAAAGGCTGTGCCCACCAACCCCTTGCACAGCAGCAAGGGCACAGCTGGGTGTGTGGGGCAGAGCCCACGGTGCCGTGTCCTTGGAGAGGAAACCTCGGGCACGGTGGCTCTGTGGAGGGGACCTGAAGGCACAGGAAGCCTGGTGTGCTGTGTCCCCTGAGTGAAGAGGACATGGGGCAGGGGAGGGTCCGGGGATGGAGAGGACCACTCAGTGACGTTCCCAGGGTGCAGGTTCCCGGGGGGGCAGCACAAGATGCAGGTCCCCAGGGCGGAGATGAGAAACCACCCGGGGTACAGGTTCCTATGAGGAGCTGAGACGGGGTTCGGTGTCCCTGGGGGAGGTAACGACCCGGGGCGCGGTGTTGCGGAGACTGAGTAGAGCCCAGGCAGCGGGATGCCGGGGGCGAACCGTGTGCAGGGGCAGCCCTGGGCGGGGGCGATGCCGCCCGCACCCCCGGGGTCCCGGCCCGGGGCCGCTCGGCGCGGTCGGCGGTGTGCCCTGGGGGCGCCCCGGGGGGCGCGGC